ACTCATGGATTACTCAGTGATGGATAAATGGATGAGATCTACATGAGCAAGCTGAGGGGTAAGGAGGGTAATGGAGGGCAAGGGATGGGGGATGAGAGCTTAGGGGAATGGGAGGTTTGAGCTGGAACAGGATCAGAGTGGGAGAACAAGGAAAGAGATAACATGATAAATGTAGACACCATGGGAATAGGGAGAAACAGAGTTCTAGGGAAGTTCCTAGGAATCCATAAGGATGACCCCACCATAGACTATTGGCAATAGTAGAAAGGGTGCCTGAGATGGCATACTCTGTTGATCAGATGGCTGAATACCCTTACTGTCATCATAGAACCCTCATCCAGTGACTGATGGAAGCAGATGTAAAGATCCATGGCCGGGTCCCAGGCCAAGCTCCAGGTGATGAGAGAGAAGAGGGATTCTATGAGCAAGAGATATGGAGACCATGACTGGAAAAAGTACAGAGACAACTGGCCAAACTAGTGGAAATACATGAATTCTGAACCAATAGCTGAGGAGTCCCCATGAAACTGGACTAGGCTCTCTGGATAAGCAAGACAGTTGTTTAGCTTGAACTGTCTAGGGGGACCCCAGGCAGTGGGATCAGGACCTGTCCCTAGTGCATGAGCCAACTTTTTGGAACCTAGTGCCTATGCTGAGACACTTTGTACAGCCTTGGTGCAGGGAGGAGGGGCTTGGACCTGCCTCAACTGAATGTACCAGGTTCTGCTAACTCCCCATGGGAGACCTTGCCTTGAAGGAGGTGAGAAGGGGGGGTGGTTTAGGGGGGAAGGTTGGGGGGCAGGAGGAGGGAGGACAGGGAAGTCTGTGGTTGGTATGTAAAATGTATAGAAAATCTCGTAGTAAAAAAAATTTTTTTAAAAGAATTCCTGGAATAGTCACTTGAATGACAGTGAAAGACAAACCTCGAGAAATATACTGAAAATACAAGGCACTTTCTTGAGAGCCTATTTTAGATTCAGTGCACTTTTTTTTTTTTTTTTTTTTTTTTTGGTTTTTTCAAGACAGGGTTTCTCTGTGTAGCTTTGCGCCTTTTCTGGATCTCGCTCTGTAGACCAGGCTGGCCTCGAACTCACAGAGATCCGCCTGCCTCTGCCTCCCGTGTGCTGGGATTAAAGGCGTGCGCCACCACTGCCCGGCTTCAGTGCACTTTTTAAGGAGACCAGTGGGCATACTGTATCTTGCCCTTCCTTGTTTTATTTTTATTAGCTCTGTGAGAATTTCATACAGTGCATTTGATATTATTTACCCCCTTTTACAAACCCACCCAGTTCCTTCCCACTCAATTTTGTGTCTTTTTCTTCTGCCTCCTATTCTCCCCCTCATCTCCTTCCTCTTTCTTCTTCTACAAATTCACCAAGTCCAATTTGTGCTATCCATACACTTGAGTTTGGGGCTATCCACTCAAAGAATGGTCAAACAACCAGGAGACATACCTTTAGAGAAAAGCCTGATTCTCCTCTCTCAGAAGCTGCCCATTGCCAATAGCTCCTCCGCTAAAGGTGGGGCTTTATATATACCTCCCCTATAGTTCTGGAAATTCGTCTGGCTTGAATTTTCACAGATCTTATACATGCTGTCACAAACACTGTGAGATGCCTCAGTCAAGGAAATGTGAGTTATATACCAGAGAAAACCATTTGGTTTTTCTATAGGGTTCAACCCAATAGAAAGTCATTATTAGCCTTCCAGCAACTATACTGCATCTTAAGAACCTGAACACAATCCTAAGACATTCTTAGGGTGGGATTTTAAGCACAAAAACCACATCCCGGGTTGACACACCTCAGTTTACAAAAAATAGTCATCCTAAAAGCAAGATTAGTACATTAGGGACTTGTAGAAATATGAACTTTGATATATTAGGTCTTTGACTTTATTTTGGCAGGAGTTGCTGTCTATGTGTTGGGTTCCAAGACTTGAATGTTGCTTCTATCATAGCATTAGTTGTGCTAAGGTCTGGGGGTCTGTTACAAAAGTATACTGAAAAGATTTGTGAGTGAATAGAAGAGCTGGTAATTTGAACAAATTAGTGACTACTCAGTCTCAAGGCTGATGATGATAATGATGAAGTGGAGGAGGAGAATAATGAAGATGATGGACTTGGAAGAGTAGCAGCATTAAATCACTGGTGTTTAAATATCCATGTAATATTTTGAAGAATCTCTTTGTCTACTCTTGAATATATTTTTATGCATGAAAAGAAACTTGTTTAAAAGATTGTATATCTTTTTTGCTTAAGAGTGCGTATCAAATCATATAAATCAAGTACCTTTTAACCATCTGATTCTGGAAACTTTCACTATCAGTCAAATCATTTCTCTTCTACCTCACATTTAACCGGGGCAGTGCTAAATTAGGATTAGGCTATTATGTTCTCCAATGCTTACTGCTGAACCTAAGTCAACCTTGATCATGAATTCCCTGGTCTGAGCATGGATACATGACCTGGCTAGAACTGGAGCATGTTGCCCAAGAACTTCCACATAGATGATGGGCCTTTCCAAATTCAAAATAGGCAGTATCAATAGAGAAAAACCTTCTGCTAACTGCTGCTTGTTTTTGCTGCATTTAAAAGTCTCTGAGTTTAAACCTCAAGTTCAAGCAAAAGGAAAGAAACTGTCTACGTGTAGAAACTTTTGTCTCCTGACAGAATAGGGAGAAAAGGAATGAAATTGAAAGCTGCTGCAGATTCCAGAGAGCTGTCTGAGTGTGAAAGAGCTGCAGTGTCTGAATGTGTTTTATATATCGGAGCATTTTAAGATCTTGGGAGTATTACAAGTAAATGATTTAACTGCTTTCAGCTGTCCTGTAAGTTGTTCATAATCACTGATTCTGCTTTTCAGATGAGCATAATAAAGTGCTCAATATAGCTCTTTCAACGGCAGCCGCAGTGCTGACTCCTCAGTATGAGACACTCACTCACAGGATATCTTCACATCCAAGCAAAGCAAAAATAAAAAAAGGAAAGAAAGCCCATGTAGCAGCAGTCTGGCATGTCTTGGACTGCTTTTTTTTTTCTGTTAGGCAAAGGCACTGAGACTTTGAAAACTTAGTTATATTTAATCAAATTTCATTTAGTGTCTATGATGGCTGACCTCAGTAATTTGGAAGAAATAATTTTTTTCTTTTTCAGTATATTTTTCTAAGTCTGCCATACACATTGACTAATATTTCAAGTTAGAATGCTGAATCAGCTGAAAAATTTAGGAATACTTTTCCATGGCACTCACTAGTAAACAAAGACATCATTGCTCATTGGTAAGAACACTGGGTCCTTACTTCATTTGAATCATCAACTCTGTCATATTTAAGGAAAATGGAGATGTTAGCAAGTTCCTGTAAGACAGAACAACTTGGCTAAGGATTATGTTGATTTCCGTGGCCAGTCTTTATCCATTTGGTCTTGGGTATGTGACTTTGATTCCTCAGTATTTGATTTCAATAAATGCCACCTTATGGACATAAAAACATTTTTTTAATTATAAGACTTGAGAAAAAATGTTATATATGATGAAGTGCTTTGAATTAATGCTTTATAAAATCAAATTTTCTCAAAATTAATATCCTAAAACTGATGGTTGTCATATGTGACTTTGTAGCAGGAATCTTAAATGGTCTTATTAATAAGAACAAACCTGAAGCCAGGTATTGGGGTAAATGCTGGAAGATCAAAGAAGCAGAACAAGCCACAGCTTCCTCACCTCACCAGTTCCTCAGCTGGTCCTGTTTTCTCAGACTGGAAGCCTCTGAGTCCTCATCCAGAATGAATCTCAGGTGAACTGTTTGTTGCTCAAAAGCCTAAAAGCTTAACCAGCTCTAGTTCCTCATCCTCAAGCCTTAAATACCTTTCTGCTTCTGCCATCATCTCCTGGGATTAAAGGCTCACTTCCTGGGATTAAAGGCATGAGTCTCCATGCCTGGCTGTTTTCAGTGTGGCCTTGAACTCACAGAGATCCGGATGGATCTCCACCTCCCAAGTGATAGCATTAAAGGTGAGTGTGCCACCATTTTCTGGCCTCTATATCTAGTGGCTGTTCTGTTCTCTGACCCCAGATAAGTTTATTAGGGTATACAATATTTTGGGGAACAAAATATCACCAAATGACTGCAATCAATGTACTTAGGAGGCTTGAAGCAGGAGATTTGTCACAAGTTCAAAGCCTATTCTGTGTTACACAGTAAGTTCTTGGATAGCCAGGGCTACCCAGTGAAAGCCTGTTTCAAAAATCTAAACCAAAACAAAGACAATACTGTATAAGATTAGTTTAATTCTTTATCCTTACCTTATGAATGACTATAAGGAATGAGGAGAGATGACCTGAACATGTAAGTCCCTACTTATAGAGAAATGAGGATGGTGAGCTGTTACTAGTCAACATCCCTTCAGTAATGAGAATACATACTGAGCACATGTAAAAATGAGGAGCCATATTTCCTGCATGCTTTTTACATCTATTCACAATAGAAATTGTGAAAAAGTTCTGATTCTGATTCAAAGTATTTCTCATTAAAAAAAAGAATGTCTTCATTATTTGTTGATACATTCTTTACTTTCGGAAATAATTATTGACCATCAATTTAAGATGGTCAGGTTTTTTTTGTCTTTTCATATGTATTAAGTAAATATTAAGCATTTCAGTCAGGAATTTTCTGCATACTAATGTATACAAATATACACATTGCTGAATATTATGAACTAACATTTAAGATGAGGAATATACAAACAAACATACATACATACACGCATATACACATAGATGCATGTAGTTGAAAGTGTTCCTGTGTCCTTCCCGGTCCCATGGCTGTTCAGACCCAAATAGACACACAGTGGCTTATATTATTATTTTTATTTTTTTCTAGGTTGTTTTATATAGAATTTTTATTTGACATTTCCAAAGTCCTGTATTGTAAAGATAATCCTTTTGTCTGGCGGCAAACAGCAACCACAGTGGTCATTCTGGGCCTCCACGCTGGATAAATTACATTTCTTCCTCAGATATAGGTTTCCTTCTGTATTTCTGAGGTAAGGTTTTTATTATCTCTGCAGTGTCTGGTGGCCCCGGATGCATCAGTGAATCTGGGGATATATTTCCCTTAGAAGTCTGTGAAAATATAGATGAGTGGGAGGGTAGCCCAGCAGATCTCAAAGCTTCTGAGGCACTAAGTATAGGATTGTCTCTTCTGTCAGGGAACCTTATTAATGGAGAATGTGGCTTCACTACCTGCATGACCCTGGTGGCGGAAGCCATCTTGCTGCCCATCGTGACCCCTGAGCAGGGCTTATATTATCTTTAAACTATGGCCACGGCAGACTTTTTGCTAGCTAGCTCTTGTATCTTAAATTAATCCATTTCTATAAAACTATACTTTGCCTTGTGGCGCATAGCTTACCAGTGCTTTACATCTTGCTTCTCCTGGAAGTAGCTAGCAGTATCTGCCCCACTCTCCTTTCTTCTCTCCTATCTCTCTTGGATTTTCCTGCCTGCCTCTAATCTGCTTTGTGATAGGCCAAATGGCTTTATTTATCAACCAATCATAGCAACACATTTTCACAGCGTAAAGAAAAACATCCCCATCACGTGCATATGTTTAATCTCATGGCCAGTATTTCTGACATAGAAATATTTAATTAATCTATCATATATTGATTAATATGTCAGAATGGAGCTCATTATTTTAGCTAAACTGGAGCCAATGAGACCCTAGAAAATATCTTTGACCTCTTACCTCCCACCATTGATATTACTGATGGATGGAGCACATAAAGTCTTATACAGTGCTGGGAATTCAAATGTAGTTCCACTGAGTCATCTGCCTAACTGATCAAGTTTTAAGGATGTCTAAAATTTCAAATTGGATAATAGGTTACAACGACTTCATAGAAGCAATTTACTTTTAATAAATGAGTATATTTCACTCTTTTCTTGATTTTGATTTTGTCATTGAAATTAATATTCCTTTAGCTAATAAAGATTTTAGAATTCTTTTCTGACTTCATGTTAGAGTATGTGAATTTAACCTTTACACTTTTCATTCATCTCTCTAACTGAAGTTTTGACAAGTACACTTAGTGGAAAAGATAAGCAACCATTGTTGAGTAGCATTAAAGTAAGGCAGAATTTGAATTTCTTAGATAGATCTATGGTGCAATGAAGTCCTATGTGTCAAAATTACAGATTTAGGAACTTGTTTTACTCACAAAGCTCATTCCATAAAAATACTCGTTTACTTACGGTATGCCATTTTTATACATTTTGATATTTAGTGTATTTGAAAGAATGAATCACTGTTCAAAACATAGAGCAAAAACATTTATAATGTGCCAACTGCCTCAGCAAAAGTGACAGACTAGCTGATGGATCCTGTTTTGTTTACTATTTTATTATCCACCTTACATTTTGACTTTACATCTAATATTCTCTTCCTTGTGGTAGTGTTTTCTGCTCTGACTTTTTGAGTTATTCATGTTGACTTCAAACAAGTAATATTGTTATCTTGATTGTTAATGTTTTAAAGATTTCCTTTTGTTATTTTTCATTATGTGCTATATGCTTATTTTTGTGTATAGTATGGTTGGGTGAGTAGTGTGTGTGTGTGTGTGTGTGTGTGTGTGTGTGTGTGTGTGTGTGTGTGTGTGTGTATGTGTGTGTGTGTGTGTGTGTGTGTGTGTGTGTGTGTGTGTGTGTGTGTGTGATATGTATGTACAGGAGTGTGTGGCCATGTGCATACTGAGACCAGAGAGTATATTAAGCATCTTACTACATCATTCTACCTCGGTATCTTAAGACAAGTTTCTCTCATGGGGTCAGATGTTTGCTATTTCATCTGGCAATGAACTCTTGAGTTCCACCTGTCTTCACTCCTCAAAGCTGGTGTTACAGGCACACACAGCTATGCCTGGCTTTTTCTGTGTGTGCTAAGATTTCAACTCAATTCCCTGTGCTTGAAGAGTAAATGCTCATACCCACTGAATCACCTTAACAGCCCCTAAATTGCCATTGTGAAGTATTGGCAGAGTATTCCTCTAACATTCGTATTTGGAAATTCTGGCCCCTAATAGTATAGTATAGAGGGCTTTGGTGGATGATTAGAGTTAAAGGAGGCAATAATGCTCACTAGTACTGGAATTATGAAATTAGGAGATGAGAAAGAAGAAATCCATTAACAAAGGCCCAACATTCATATTGACTCCCTGACCTTGGACTACTAGCATAGAGAACTGAAAGAGACATATTTCCAATGTATAGGTCAATTTTTTTTCTTAATTAAAGAAGCCTGATTTAAGACAACTACTTTATCTCCTTTTTTGTCCTTATCTTCATCATAGGCTTTCACCTCACGTATTCATAAAACTTGCTTCATGGCTGGGCAGTGGTGGTGCATGCCTTTAATCCCAGCACTTTGTGGGCAGAGGCAGGCGGATCTCTGTGAGTTCAAGGCCAGCCTGGACTACAGAGTGAGATCCAGGACAAGAACCAAAACTCCATAGAGAAACCCTGTCTTGAAAGACCAAAAAAATATATAAATAAATAAAAACTTGCTTCGTGATGTTTTAAATACACACATCTGTTAAGAACAAGCTGAATAATAATAAATATAACCCTATTATATTTAGGTACATCTTAAATATTTATTATTGTAAGTTAAAATCATAACTATAATTAAAATTATATATGTGAAACTAATGATTTATACATATTCACATTTAGTTTTACTGTAAAACCAAATTTATACAGATAGTAAATATATGTACTTATAATGTTTTAAATGAAGTCTTCTGATTCTAACATACCAATTATTTATTTATCAAATGTGTATGCATCTAGTATGATCTTACATGTATGATCACTTTTATTAATACATATATTTTATTCAACAAATAACCAATCAATTTAAACACGTCATTCTTATATTATTTGTAAATAATAAATCAATGAAAATGATTCCAAATTAGATCGGTTCTATTTTTATACCATAGCAGAGTGTATGCAAACAGGACAGGGATCTCCTGATATTGCTAATACAAGAAAAACTATTATAAAGTTTGATTAAGATATCTGTTTTGTAAAATTATATTTTATACAACAACATACTCAAGTTTTAATAGCACTTTTATAGCTGTTTAAAAAAGAAAATAGATACTTTTGTAAACATTGTTAATGAGAAAGACTTTGAAAAACTATTGTTTTGAGAATTATCATCCACAAAAATAAGTATATATACAATTTGAGTGTGTTGAATTTACATACTTAGGAATATATATGAATATAGCATGCCACTTGATAGAGAGCAAGGAAGGATATATAGGAGAGTTTGGAGGGAGGAAAAGGAAGGAGGAATAATGTGATTATATTATAATCTTGAAAAATACAAGAAATAACTTAAAAACTAATACATTATAGGTGGATTTTAAAAAAACTCATACATAAGGGATAGAATAATGCAATATCACATTCTTATTGGAATCTGTAAACCTGCTAAGGAGAAAACAGTAAAGCATCCCTGGAAGTGACCCTTAAGAACTCCCTGAAGAACTTTGGCTAAACAGCTTAAAATACTTACCCTCAGATTCATCAAATCTCATTACCCCACAGAGGTGCATATTTCCTGGAAGAACTGCAACACTAGGTCAATGAAGGGAATGGGCAGAACAACCTGTTATCAATTTCCTAGATCAAAAACTCTGTTTAATATGTTATCCTCAGATAGAGAACGGATCTTATATTAAACTGATAAGATCAAATGCTGCACTTGTTCTTATCAGAAAGGCCAAGAAGCAAGAATATCATCAAATTTGAAAGAAATTGTTACCCATCAGGTAAAAGACAATCTCCTTTAAAAATCCTGTTTCTTGCCGGGCGGTGGTGGCGCACGCCTTTAATCCCAGCACTCGGGAGGCAGAGGCAGGCGGATCTCTGTGAGTTCGAGGCCAGCCCGGGCTACCAAGTGAGTCCCAGGAAAGGCGCAAAGCTACACAGAGAAACCCTGTCTCGAAAAACCAAAAAAAAAAATTCCTGTTTTTGAAATCATCACTGGGGAACACATGTTGACTAGTAAAGAGCATACATAGAAATTCTAGAATGTAAACGAAAATCTTTTGGTGCATATTTTAAGGTGTCTTCCTTCTTGTTCTTCTCTGGATAGCAAATGCTTCAACCAAATAATACATCTGAGGAGCTGTACCTCCTTTCTGGCTGCAGCATCCCTTCAGTTGCTGCCTGCATAAACTCCTTTTAGTGCCATATTTACAGGTGCTCTGCATTTCCTTTCATGTCCATCTCTTCCTCTCTGTCTCTCAACACTTTCTGCTTTCATCCTTCCATCTCTCCTTTCTCGTCTTTGCTCTTTGTTTCTGCCCCCTCACTTCCTTCCTAATTTCTCCTTCCCTCTGTTCTTTACTTGATTCTTTTCTCCCTTCCTTGCTTGCTTCTTTCATTTCTTACTTTTGCAATCTAACTGCAGAGAATTTTCTATTTTCATCTTTGTTTTAGGTTTCAGCCTTAGCCCTGGTAGTTACTTTAAGAAAAAAACAGTTCTTTATGAAGATTTGTTTTGACAGCAGTAAAAAGATGTTGTACTTAATTTCACTGGATTTTAAACCAATGTAATTCACTTAATTGATAAAACAGAAATAAAAAAAACACCTTTTAAAAATAATGCACAATTAGAATATTTACATTTCACAGCTATTACTTTTCTATTTATGTCCAAAAATTAGATACAGAGATACATAGACTTTACTTTATTTTTGTTAAATGTCAGAATTGTGAAATGTACCATTTATCAAGCAGAAAGGGTATGGGACATGCACTTTGGGCTTTGGGCTTTTCTTTTTATAGTTCTTCCAGGGACTCCCCTGTGACCTTCAACAAATGGAGCTCAGTTGAGCTGACTGTAAAAGGAGGCTAGACATAGTGACCTGTCTTGCTGGTGTTAGAAGACTCTATAAATCAGAGACTACAGAGTTCTTTAAGTTTCTCAGATGAATTGTGCTGGATAAGGGTGAAATGTCAAAGCAGAAAAACTGCTTGTACCTTTTATGCGTCAGTTATTACCAAATGGCACTACAAAAGAGGGTCCCTGCACACCTTCATAAAACTAGTCGAATTTTCTGATAGAGATTTAGTTCAGGCACTTTGAAAAAAATGTTTAATAGATTGTGTTAACCTCGGAAAACTATTTTTTACTTAATGTATTCAATAAACCTACATGGCCCTCTTATTTCTGATAACCAGCATAAATAAAACCTTTTCCAAAATCATGTATTAATATATGTGTTTTATGTATTTGTGTGTGATAGCACCTTTGCTTATTCCCCAGAGAGGCTTTTGGTGTTGATTAACAGCTATACTGTCTTTGCCAACTCAATATATAAGAAAGTTGCTGATATATTTTAAAGCATCTATATTCAGAGCTGAAAATTAATTTTGTGTTGAATTTTTTTTAAACATCTACTGATTAAACTTAAGCAGTTAAAACATCTTAGGCATTTAACTTCAATGTTGTGTCCTCCCCTATCAGAGCAAAATTGGGCATTTTCCTATACACAATAGAGGAAAAAAAGCAATTACTATCAATCAGTGGCTAAGCAACAGATTGGAGTATTTAGAAAGACTCATTCATACACAGATTTGCAGCAGTGTTCAGCTCCTCTGATTAGATTCCATAGATTTTAAATTGTAGCTAATTAGGCTGTCATAGGTTCATTAATGGCTCTACTGATTCAGCACTCCCTCACCTGCATGCATATCAAAGCTCATTAGCGCCCTTGTCTAAAATACCACCTGCATTAATTACTGCCGGTGCACCAGGCCTCTTCAGAAGGCTCTTCTGACAATGATTCTACCTGCTTGTAGTGCCCCTTGCCCCTGTAAGCTCTTCAGGAGAGCTCCCACATAAAGTTCATGGTGCCGCACATGTGGCGGGACTGCAGCTGGTGTAAGGGCAGCGAAGCCTGTTTCATGCTTAACAGCAGGATATAAATAATTAGTGATGCCTGTGCTGTGGCCTTGACACAAGGCTGCTACATCCCATTCAAAGCTCCTCTTAAACCATTCTGCCCTACAAAAGAAAATCCATGTCATCCTTCTTTTGATTCTTGAGTCTTTAAGCAGCTTCAACGAAATGCTAAGACTGAGACAGAGGAAGAACACTAGCTTCTTCTGAGTTCATGGCCTTTGTCCCTGGGGTGTGCGTGATGAAACCCCTGGAAGGGCTATTGCAGACATCTCAGTTCCCATGTACTTGAAAAAGTCACTGCACAACTTAGCAGTTACATCATCTCTAAAGCCAAAGTAGTGTTTTCCTGTTACACATAATTTTATTTTTATTCCCTTTTCATTCCCTCAGATAAGCCTTTTCTTTCTTTCTTTCTTTTTCTTTCTTTCTTTCTTTCTTTCTTTCTTTCTTTCTTTCTTTCTTTCTTTCTTTATTTATTTCCTTTCTTTAATTTCTTTATATATTTCTTTATTTAATAGCAAAAATACTGAATTAAGTTACTAATAAAAATACTAATAATTTCCTAAGAAATCTATCTACTTAGTCTTGAGGGAGTTCTAAGAATGATCTGAAAGTATGATAATGGTTTGGAAGTTGGTTGATGGTAAAACTAATTCTTATTTTCTGATTATTTTTCCTTACTGCTCAGTACTTCCAAAGTAATTGATAACTACCAGGTGTGATTTCGGGATTATTTATGTGTCATCCAAATGTATTATTGTGATGCATTTATTTAAATGGACTTAAGGATGAAGTGTCAATCTCAAATAAAGTTCTTTCTGTAATTGTATAATACACATGTATGTCTTTTGTTGGGGAATATTACTTTAAGGTGTGTTACTTTTGTTTATGTTGCATTTGTTTAACTTTGTGAAGCTGTGCTACTGTGCCTGTCTAAAACACCTGATGGTCCAATAAAGAACTGAACGGCCAATAGTAAAGCAGGAAAAAGGATAGGCAGGGCTATCAGGCAGAGAGAATATATAGGAGAATTCTGGGAGGGAAAAAGAAGTAGTCAGAGAAGGAAGAGGACCCAGGAGCCAGCCACCCAACTGTACAGCAAGCCATGGAGTAAAAAACAAAGCAAGGTATACAGGAATAGAAAGGGAAAAGCCAAGAAGCAAAAGACAAGTGGGTTAAAGTTAAGAAAAGTTGGCTAGAAATAAGCCACACTAAGGCTGGGCATTTATAATTAAGAATAAGCCTCCATGTGATTTATTTGGGAGCTAGATAGCGGACCTCCCAAAAGACCAAAAACAATCAACAACAGTCTTTATTCCCATTAATATTATATCAATATACAGTTAATAAAATCTTTTTACTTAATTTAAATATATAACTAATAATGAGTAATCAAAGCCATATATCAAATACACACATATATAAGAAGAGTTGTTCTTTTTATTACTTCTTTTCAGAGTTGGCCTCATTATGCAGCCCTGACTGACTCCAAACTCACTATGTAGAACAGGTTGTCCTGGAAATCACAGAGACCCTCTCTGCTTCACAAATGTGGGGATTAAATATGTGCATCACTCAGCTCAGGCATTTTAACCAGTAACTTAAGAGAATTCATCCATGAAAAATGAAAATTCATCATGAGAATATGGGGAAGAAAATAAAAATATACAAAGAAAATATGTGTTAGAATGTAAAAATATAAATGAATTATGTTTGACTTACTAATTTCCTTCCAGTATTTAAAAATAAAATGATCTTAATTTAAAAATTTACATAGAGCGGGGCTGGAGAGATGGCTCAGAGGTTAAGAGCACTGGCTGCTCTTCCAGAGGTCCTGAGTTCAGTTCCCAGCAACCACATGGTGGCTCACAACCATCTGTAATGAGATCTGACGCCCTCTTCTGGCCTGCAGGTATACATGCAAACAGAGCATTATATATACAATAAATAAATAAATCTTTAAAAAAAAAATTTACATAGAGCAAGAAATATGTGAAGTCATATTGTTTGGACATTACATTTATCTTATGATATTACTTCACATAACAAAATTAATTCAGCAGTATTGAGTACCCAGGGGTCCCAGGGATTTCACCATGTCTGGTGTGGGATATCTGAGGGGAAAAAAAATCTATGTACACTATGTTCTTATGTCTGTTAACTTTATTCCTCTAAGAAAAAAATTCTATCAATATAGCTATAGCTCTGTCAGGCACTCAGGACAAGAATAACTCTAGACATACCAAGCTCTTTATCTGTCTACTTTATTTCTCTGGTCTGAAATCCTGTCTACATAGCTTCAGCTCCGTCCGGTTCCCTATCATATGTCCTGTTAATGACTAAGCTCTTATGTCCTCTATTTCCTCATTCTCCATCTCTACTACTCTCTTCTCCTGGTACTAATGGACTCTACAAAAGTTCTGCCTTACTGTCTACAAAACCTCTGTCTTCCTCTCTTCTTTCTGCCATGCTGTTCTGTCTGTCCCTACAGAAAATGCCCATCCTTTCTTTCCCTGGCCCATGGTTCTCTGACTCCTCAAGAATGTTGTTCTGCCTTCCACCTTGATATGTAAAAACTACTTTTGTTCTCAGTCAATTGCTGTGGAGAGCTGCTAGGCCTCAAGCCAAGGGGATGGTCTGAGCTTCATTTCACAAGAAGCAAAGCTATGCCTCTCTAGTCAACTTGTCTCCTAGGCTCAGCAGGGGAGTTAGTTACCTAGAAGTTCAGCAGGTCTGGAAATATTGGGCACACAAATATTTCATAGTGGGAGACAACTGAAATATTAAAAATCTTGATAGCACCAAATATTCATAATAGATGG